GGCAAGAGTGGAAGCAGGGGGCCCAGGCATCCTGGGAGTAGTGATGTGTGCTGAATGCCGGGAGCAGAGAGAGAGGAGAGCCACGTTCAGACATTCAGGAGATAGAACAGGGAGTCATGGTTAGACGTGGGCCAGGAGGGGCCTTTGTCCAGGAAGACTCCGAGGCCTCTGGCATGAGGAGCTGAGCGGGCAATGGGCGAGGAGGACAGAGGTGGGTGAGGGAGAGCGTGACAACCTTTGCGTCTGGTATATGAAGGTGGAGTGCCTAAAGCATGCCCTCATAGAGGTATCTGCCAGGATTAGGCAAGCTGCAGTGGGGGGCACAGACCAGGGGAGACAGGGATGCAGGAATTGATTGCTCAGGCCCCATCCTGTGTCTCCTCCCTGGCCTTTCACAGATTAGGCTACTGTTGGCCTGGAGAGCCCTTCATACTTAAGGATACAGCTGAGCAGCATAGCTCATAACACTGAAGGTGCTCCATGCCCCTCCCCCACAACTCTCGGTGCTGGCCAGCCCTTTCCCATCACCTGGGGACTGTCAGGAAGCCGGCCTTCCCTTCTTTTCCTCTGCCCTCCTCTGGGCTGCCCATGGCAAATGCATGGGTCCGGTAGCCAGCCCTCGGAGAGAAGTGATCAAGAAGATCCACTGCCTCTTTCAGGCTGGTGTTGAGGTCCCAGGGGCCTAGGCTCGTGGCTCTCCCAGAATCCCCCTTGGCTGGCCATGGGAGAAATTCTGTTGCAAAATCCACACCCTGTTTGTTTTCCCCTCGCCAAAATGGAACTCCTGTTTGGTTAATTTCTATTTTGTGGCTTATTTGGAGGCTGTTGAAACAGACCCTGGGGGACTCTCAGCAGCGATTGTTCCATATCTCATTATCTTTCCCAGACCCGATTATTAACTCTGGTTTTTCTGATCGCTAGCTGCTGTTCGTGATGAGCTGTGTGCCATTAATGCCAGCTGGTTCTCTTAAACAGGACCCACCATGCCAGGGAAAACGAGCTGGCATTCAGAGCCACCAGCCACTTGGCTTTTTAATTTTAACGGGCGCCACCAAATGTTCCAGGCCAAAGGGCCCCTAAGGAACCAGAACAGACGGGCTCCCAACCCCTGGCCTGCAGCCCACCCTGGGTTCCTTCCCAGGCTGTGGCTGTCCGAGGTGCTGGGGCAATAAGTCCTGGGCCAGGACCAGGGGCGGGGTAAGGGTAAGTGGCCACTTGCCTCCTCTGTGTCCACGCCCTCCCTACCACTGGGCCCAACCTTGGAGCCCAGTGAACAGGATGGCCTCACTGACTCATTGTAAGCTCACAGCTACACACATACCCAGGTCTTCTCCCCACTTTGCTGGTCTCTGGCCGCTTCCCTGGGCTCAGGTGTGTTGGCCACATTCTCAAGAACATGTGTGTGCCTCACTAAATGTCACCCCATCCAAACTGGGTAGACCCTGGTGGGCTTCAGGGAAGGGGAGGCCCAGAAGAAACCTAGGACTAAGACCTTGTTTTCTCTCTTCTTTCTTCCTCCCGTGAGCTCCCACCTGGGGTGGGAGAGATAAGTGTATCACTCACTCTGGACTATGCTGGTTCTAGCCAGCGGGAAGAATGGTTGACCGGGAGGGAGTAGGTTGTGGGAGGCACCCGTGGCCACTACCCCTCCTTGCCCTCAGCTGCACTCCAGCCCTGCCCACCCGCAAAAGGCTGCCACAGGGAAGGGTCCCAGCTCCTCTGCTCACTTTCTCCAATGGCTCCTACCCTCCCTTCCTCCAGCGAAGTGCTGCATCTTCCCAAATTTGTGTGTGGGGTTGCGAACCTAGGCCTTCTGGCTTCCAGCTATCAGGAATGGGGTGGGGGTGGGGATTCAAGAGCCTTGTCTTCCCTGCAGGAGCTCCCTTCCATTTCCCACTCATCTGGATCCCAGCTCCAAGCCGGCCTTTGTCAGGGAGGCTCTTGCTGTGCAAACAGACATGCTGTGAAATGGCGCGCAGGCTTTGAAGCATGATTCCTTGAGATGGAAGACCCTGAAAAGTCAATACTGTGGTGATTAAGAGCAAAACTTTGGAATGATTAGCCCCTAGGTCCAAATCCTAGCTTTACCAGCCTCATAATAGCTGTCTATCCTTGGGCAGAGTTACTTCACCTCTCTGAACCCATCTCTTGTCTGTAAAAGGGGCCAACATAGCCTTATCCAAAAGCCCTGTCATGGTGATTTCACTAAGTGATTCCACGTGAGCATGTGCTGAGGGGCCTGAGATAGGAGGTGCTTACCGACTTCTCCCGAGCCCCCTCCTCTTCCTCTTCTTCATTGCTAATGCCCATCTGCTTGTCCTCCAGCCTCCCACACTCTGCCTCTCTGCACTTTTTCGGGGGTGAGGGGGAGGCCATTTCTGAGTCACTTACTGCTGAGAGCTGGGGAGGCCTAGTGAGCTGGGGAACTTGGTGAATTCCAATCTGGGTGGCAGGACAGTGGCCCAGTGTGGGTGGACAGCCCCCTCGGCACCACTGAAATGTGTCCAAGCTGCCATGCCCCTGCCTGCCTCCCAGTCTTCCCTCAAGCGAGGTTTGGACTCTGGGTAGCAGCCTGAGACTTCAGATGGAGCCCGAGCACCCAAGACCCCGGACTAGGTTTGCCGAGCAGCACTATAGCTCTGTGGGGTGCTGGCCTGCCCTGGGACTGACAGACTGGCACTTTCTTGTCTTCCTGAGTCTCGCTGTCACAGCCTGGGCTGGGCTGTTCCTGCCATGCTGTGCCCTGCCTCAGTGGTGGCAGGTACCTGGCAGCCCTGGAGGCTTTCCCAAGGCTCTGTGTCTTCCACAACCACTCAGAAGATTGAGGCCAGAGCCAGGCCTGAGGACATAGGGTGGCCTACTGGGCCACCAGGTGTCCCAGAGCTGACTGACAGTAGGCTGCCCCTGGCCCTATGAGGCCAGGAGTCTGGCTACAGCTCCAGCCACACCCTCATCCCAGGAAGGGTGGACAGGGCAGGGCTGGCTCTGGCCTTAGTCTGGGGAGCAGAGGGCTTGCCATACCCAACTCCTGGCCGTGTGTGTCTTGTCCTTCTCTCTTCATACCCAGAACGTGCTTTCCCTCTGCCTTGCCTAAGACTGCCTTCCTCTCTAAGAAGCCCCCCTTCCAACCTTTGCTGATCTCTCCATGCGTTATTTGTTTGTTGGTTCCCGCATTTATCCTTATTGAGCACATGCCATGTGCCAACAAGTGCAGCCCTCAGTGGTGGGCATACAAAGAGGAAAAGGCGCAGTACCTCCTCTCAGTGCAGTGACATTGTTAACCTATAGCTCCATTTACTGAGGATTCTTGTGTGCCAAGCTCATGCCCAACACTGTGCTGGGATTACAGACGTGAGCCACTGTACCTGATCCTAACACTGCATACATTCTTTTTTAATTTTAAAGTTATGGGGTATAACTCAGGCTGAGGTATACAAGTGGTCATTGTACAGGTAAAGTGTGGGCCTCCCTTTGGTCCCCACTTTGCCTGGTTTGAGATCAAGTACACTTATTGATGTTATGTGCTACTCGCCCCCCCGGCAGTTTCTTGCTACTTCCAATCCCTTTCTTATAGTATTCTTATGGTGCATACATTCTTTTTTTTTATTTTTGAGTTGGAGTCTCACTCTGTTGCCCAGGCTGGAGTGCAATGGCACTCTCATGGCCACCCCAGCATCGACCTGCTGGGCTCCAGCTATCCTTCTGCCTCAGCCTTCCAAGTAGCCGGAACTACAGGCACATGCTACCACGCCTGGCTAATTTTTAATTTTTATTGTAGAGATGAGGTCTCGCTGAGCTGCCCAGGTTGGTCTTGAACCTGAGGGCTTAGGTAATCCACTCACCTCGGCCTCCCAAAGTACTGGGATTACAGGCTGAGCCACCGAGCCTGGCCGGTACATACATTCTTAAAACAGTCCTGGGGTGTTGTAGATATAATTCTCCCTTTTTACAGACGAGGAAACAGAGGTAGAGAAAGGCTAACTGACTTACCTGCCTAGGGTCCTCCTGCTAGTAAGTGACGCTGGAGGTGGGGCTCAGGTGGTCCTGAAAGAACAGGTGTGGTTTGAGTGGAGGAGGCATCCCTGGCATGGGGACCAGCACTGGAAAAGCCCCACAGTTGGAAGGTTCATGGAGCATGATGAGCAGCAAATGGGACTGGAGGAGTAGAACTGGGTGTGGGGGGTGTGGGGACGTGAGGGGATGCCGGCCAAGGTTGCTATGGGCAGGAGAGTGCACTTTCTCACGCAGGTTGTGGGGAGAGCTGGTGGTGGATGTGAGCGCACCTAAGCTTTAGAAAGATGGACAGCATGTGGGACGGACTGGAGTGAGGAAGGCCCCGGGCACGGACTGGGGTGGGGTGCCTGGATGCCGGGCAGGTGAGAGGAGTGAAGGCAGGGGCAGTGAGGCCAGGAGTGCGCCACACCCTCTGTCCTGCTCTGAGCTAGTCTACTTAGCCTTGCAGCCTGGGGACAGGTGTGGGGATCTCCTGCCCTGCACCCTCATGGTCTGGCCAGGCCCAGGCATGGACCCACTATGGGGCCTCAGAAAGGTGGTGCTTAGAGGCCAGGGTGGGAATGAGGGGTGGCTACATTTCATTTATTTGCAGAGTATGTACCTTCCTAACAACAACTACAGCACCATTCCATCTGCCCCTTTTTCCCTCTGTAGACTGTGTGGTATGGCGGGGGAGGGGGGAGGAGAGGAGGTATGCGTGTGTTTGTGTATGTGTGTATGTGTGTGTGTGTGTGTGTGTGTATCCAATGCTTTACCTCTCCCACTTTTTCTCCCGTGCTGATTACCCTGGATGACTGGGCACTGGTCCTCTAGCCACCCTGGAGCTCTACGTCCTCAGGTGATGCTGAGGGTCAGGGGTATGGGTACCATTGTTGGGAAAGACGACACCCCTCACCCTCTGCTGTTCCTTCAGCCCTTCCCCCTTCCTCCCACAAACCACTGCAGCACTACGTACTCTTTCCGTGTTTGACTTTTGTCTTTCCAAGGTGGGCCTTAATGTCCTGGTTCAGAAAGCCAACAAGTTCACCCCAGCCACCCGCCTTCTCGTCCAGAGATTTGTGCCGTTCCCTGCTGTAGGTAAGACCTGCCCAGTACACAGACATGCATGCGATGTGCGTGGATGTGGGGGATTGTGGGGCTCCCAGGGAGCTGGGTGGCCCTTCACCTCCCTCCTGGTGCTCTGCAGGTACTGGAGCAAAACACATAGCCAGAAGACGGGATCATGGGGCCCCACTGGCCAGCTTTGGGTCTGAGATTCTCAACCAGGGGTCCCAACCCCCATGGCATCCTTAGACAGAAGGCAGTAGATCCCATGGACTTGGCTGGGGAAAAGATCTACACTAACCTCTAACTGCAGTTTAACATTTCCTTCCCTTGCGAATGCAGGCAGCAAACGACTGTAAGAAGCAGTACCTGTGACTGTTACCAACAGAAATCAGATATTTTCATGTCACATTACGGTTGTTACAGAAATCGTAAAATATCTTTTACGTGCAACAGGATTTCATATTTAATATGGCAACTGATAGATCTTGTTTTTTAACTCATGAGTTAAAAACACACCTATTACTGTATCATAATTTTTAAAATATCTCGATATCTTATTTCGGTGTCATCCCTTTGTAATCCTGCGTATTTTGTCCTGTGCCTTTAGAAGCATTATTCTGAGAGGGCTTTAGAGGCCTTGCCAGACTGCGAGAGTGGCTCCTGGCACAAATGAGTTTCTGCCAGTCTGGGTTTCAATCAAGCCTTTGGGTTTTGTGGCCCTGCAGGCTTTGGGGGCCTTCGCTCCTCTGCCAGCGACTGTAGGTGCACAAGTGCAAGCAGAGGGAGTTCTCCTGCTTTCAGCGGAGTCTTTGCTGGATTTGGAGTTGAGGAGCTCTCCATAGCGTCCCCAGGCCTGAGCCCTGGGGATGCCACAGAGTCTGGCCTGGCTCCTAAGAAGACTTATATACCTTGTGTGGGGACAGGGACAAAAGAGTGGAGAGTTTCTTAAAAATTAAAAAGAAATAAACAACATTGAGAGCAGCACAAGGCAGTGTGTAGTTAGTTGTCAGAAGAGAAGGATAAGCCAGTGCTTGAACTCTAACACCAGAGGACAGGCCCAGCACAAGGCATGAGGACCCATGACCTCCCTGGTGCTTAGCCTGAAGAGCCAGAGCTACCCAAGCTCATGGTCCTAACCCCTCTCCTCCCCTCCAGGTCTCAGCTTCTCCATCTTTAGCTTCTCCATCTATAAAATGCAAGTACCGGTACCTTCTTTCCTGCAGCCAGAGCTCTGGGAGGAGCAAATGAGGCCACAAACCAGATTCCATTGATAGGAAAGTGCTTTGAAGCACCTGAAGGCCCCCCCCCCAGAAGGTGGGAAATCATTACTGGGCAGCCCCACCCCCTGGATGGCCCAGAGGCTAATGAACTCCCAGAACCAGCCACCTGGCTCAACCAACCCAGATAATTGCTATAGCAACTCCACACTTTTAATGAAGTCTCAGCTATTTCTGTCGTGGCCCATTAATGGAATAACCCTTTAGATCTGACTTTGTTAAGGGGCCTAATTGAGCAAACACAGCTGCCCAACTGGTGTTCCCGGCCTTTTGGCCCGAAGGGTCATCAGCAGCCTGAGAAGGGGGCACTTAGCTGCACTGGACTGGATCTGGGACTCAGATGTAATCTGGCCTTAGCCAAGCTTCAGATAACAACTTTGCCAGGGGCCCATTCCAGCCCTACTCTGCCAGTCATCTTGCTGTGTGACCTTGGAGTGGTCTTAACCTCTCTGGGACTCGTTCTGGAGGAGAGTCCGTGCTTTCGGCCTGAGACTTTCTGACCTATCCCTCTTCGGGTTCCAGCCTGTGCCCCTCCCGTCTTCTCCTTCCACAGGTCCAGCCACTGTTGGGGATCTTGAGATCTGCATATCTCTAGTTACACAGGTCACACACAGTATGGTTTGCAGCCCTGACGGTCTTAGCCCACCAGGATCCTAAGGGAAGCAGGCCCTTTTTGGCTTCTTCCTCAGTCCTGGCCCTGAATCCTGGCTGTGTGCTTGCCAGACTGCCTTCCACTCCAGCATCAGTCTCTCCTTCCCACATGGAGACTCTGGTCCCCAGTGTCCACCCCAGTCCCATCTGCAAATAAGCCTTGGTAACTCCCTTAGTCAATGCTGATACAGTTGTGAGATAAATAGGTATGACCCTCACCTACCAGGGACTCAAAGCCCCCTGGTCCTTTCAGGGCATCGCCCAATCCCTGCACTTGGCCTCACTCCATGTTATCCCCAGGTACCCCTGGTCAAGACCAAGCATCTCTAAGCCCCACTGGACATCGGCAGGTCCTAGGTCCTGCCTGGTGTTCACTCCTGCTTTTCGAGGCAGGTGAGGCCAGACCTGGCTGTGCCCCATTAAAGGCTACTGAGAAGCCCACTCAGGGTGTGCTTTGCTTGGTAGAGGGGGTCCTTTGCCCCTTCAGGCTGCTGGCATGATGAGGAGACAGGATTCACTACGCTGTGAGTGCACTTGGGAAGTGGGTTGGAGCAAGTGGAAGTGATCGTATCAGGCCACATTTGATAGGATGTGTGTGGCGTGTAAGGGGGTCCTCAGGGTGTTGGGGGGGTGTCCTGAGGAAGCCTTTGTGCCCTGTGGACAGAGGCCCTGTCCCCACTCCCACCTTCCTGGGCTGGCTGAGAACTTGAGTTCTGGGGAACAATGAGGTTTCCAGGAATCAGCAGCTTTCCAGGGCTCTGCCCAACTCCTCCAGGCTCCAGCCTGAAGCCTGGAGGGTGGGACCGCCTGCTGCCCGAGAGAGGCCTGAGACACACAAGCGCAGGACACCACGTCCGCCCCGAGCTTCAGTCTCCCAACCCATGCTGCCTGCTGTCTCTTCATCTGGACATGAGGCCTCTGGCCAGAGCCCCCTTCAGCCTCTTCTCACTGGAACTTCCTTGACAGTCAATGCTAGCCTCCCCCTGTTTGCAGAGCCCAGTATCCCTGGGGGCTACATGGCACCTCTTGTGCCCACTAGCAGACCTCCTTTCTCCCTCCATTCTCCTCATTCTGCACAGGGAGGGTCTGAAGGCAGAGCGTGCCATCCCCATTTTACAAAAGAACAAACAAATTCAGACTTGCTTTAAATGATACTGAGCGGGCCAAAGCCCAAGCCTCCCAGGCCCAGCCCAGGGCTATTTCAAGTCCACTGGGATAACCACTTGCCCTCTGGAGCTGAGAAACTGAGGGGTGTGGTCCAGAGGTGGCCAGGGCTACTCTATGTCCTGCCTGGAGCACTTTGTCTCCTGCCTGGTGCACTTTGTCTCCATGTCTGCACTAGTTTTTCAGCAAGGTTTGTGTGTGTCTGTGCACGTGCGTGCATACGCACACACATGTGCTGAGTACGTGTGCTGAGTACGCTCCAGGATGCTTACTGCAGCCATTGCTCTCCCCTTGGGGAGAGGTGGTTTCGGGGCTGTGTTGTGCCTTGGTCTCGAACAGCAATCGTGTGGGAGATCTCATTTTCTATTTATACATGGAGATGTTAGGAAAGACGGTGAGCCCAGGAGCATGTGTGCTGGCATCAGAATCGATTGGGGACTGGTAATTAATTTGCTTAGAACTTAATTAATTCTCCAGTTCTTTCTTATTTGTGGACTGTCACGCCTAATTGTGTTCAGGAGCTTGAGCTCAGAGCAGGCCCTCTGTTAATTGACGTATGGTGGCTGTGAGGTGGAAGTTAATGGTTTGGGAAGCTGGGCAAACAATGTAATTAAAGGTCAATAGAGGAGGCATTGGAAAAATATATCCCCCCTCCCCCCGCACAGCCACTGGGCAGAGTCCGTTTTGGGGGATGCAGGATTCACAACCTTCTTGAGAGGTCTTGGGGGGAGGGCACGCTGGGAGGAGTTACCAGTGGGAGGGCCAAGTCCTGGGTCCCAGAGGGAGCACTGGCCAGGGAAACAGACACATCTTGTTGACAATAGTGGGCAGGGCAGAGGTGGCAGGGAAGTGGAGATCCCAGGTGTCCTCTATAAAACAGGCACTCCAGATCCTGCATAGGTATGTGTGGGCGGAGAGCAGGAAGCCCTGAAGGTCACCTCATGATGCCTGGCTGTGTCCACACAGAGCGGGGAACACTCGGTGAGTGTCACGCGCTAAGCAAGACCCCTATTTGGACCCTGAGCTCCCAGTGGGGAGTCCTGAGCCTCAGCATCAGTCAGCTGACTCTTTCTGAGGTGAATCACCTTCCTGCATGGACCGGAAATGCCAGTCTCAGCAGCCTTTTGCCAGGAAATGACTTCTTCCTGTGCCATCCCCAACAGTCCCTTATGTTAAATGTCACGTGTGTCGCATTGCCATGGAAAGCTCTCTGTACCTACCAGTGAGCCCCTTTCTCAGGACGTCCGGGAAGCCTGTGGGAGGTCTTCTGTTCACTCATACCCAATGTGCCACATACCTGCTCCCCGGCATTCATGTCCCCTTTGCCCCAGGCCACACAGGTCTTCGTGTCATCGATCCTACCTTCACTCTACTTCTTCCTCATGCTCAGTCCTGAAGGTAGCCATGGCAGTGCTGCCCCCAGGTCAGACAGAGCACAGCTCCTGAGGCCTCACCTCCTGTGAGCAAGAGATGGCAGTGCTCACCATGGCAGCTGTGTCCCAAGCTCTGGGACATGCACTGCCTCCGTTGAGGTCAGTGGGGCATCACATGGTGTCCACGGCACCTTCCTTGGCCTGCCCTTGTCCCTGCTGTCCCCCACTGCAGCTGTGGGGAATCTTGCCCTTTCCTCCGGCCTCTCCCTGGGCCCCAGGCCTCTGCCCCTGGCGCAGCTGTCTGGATGGCCACTCTTCCTACTACCTCAGCCCCACCCTCTGCCTTTGCTCAGCCGCCAGGCCTGCGTGACTCAGTTCAGACACCATCTCCTCTCCAAAGCCCTCCCTGGGAGTCCCAGTCAGGGTTAGCCTGCAGCACTCTGGGTGTGCTTATACCTATCTGGGGACTGCCTGTTTTGTTTCCAAGTCTGCCGCCCCCATCAGACTGCCAATACCCCAGGACAGGAAGTGGATCTCATCCGTCACTGCCCCTCAGCCCCTCTCT